GACACAAATGCTATACTGCTCATTTCATGATGTGCCCGTGCTCGATCCTGGTATGCAACGCATGCCCCAGCTTCTGCCGGCTGCTGACCACCGTCGCAGCAAGATCACGAATAACTCGACTTGGAACCGCGCTCATTCCGTGGCCGCCCACCTCTGAGACAGTACGTCCCACGCTTATGCCCACGCCTCGCCGTTGTGCTCACGGTCACCTCTCGCAAAGATACGCTCCACGTTTCACCACAATAGGTACATCATGCACTGGCACGATATGTGCTTTTCATCCTCACCATGCACCTTCCTGCAGGGTCGATATGAAGGATCAGGAGATATATTGCATGGGACGTGGGATAGTACATCGGGTGAAATAGAAGAGGTTGGAGAGAAATCGAGTGAGGTGACAATAGCTAAGACCTGCCTATCTCCTCCGGGGGCCATAAGACAAGGGCATGCACCCCTCGCACAGACCTAGCACGTGCAACCGATCGTGCAGGCGTAAGCTACCACGAGCCGTCAACGGCGCAGCGGCCGTGTAAGAATATGATACTAAGAGCCATGCCCTGAGAGCTGATCCCACGACGAAGCCCGATCGCACTCGCCGAGCCTTACGCATTGACCATCCAGCCACTCTCCGGAGGCAAAATGCGTGTGCAGCCGCCTGCGCCCTATCGCCCACATGCGCGATTTCCAACATATAAACGAGAGGAGCTCACCTGATATCGCGGAATATGCACTCTACCGCGCACTTGTCCCCATCCCGCGCTCACGATCCTGTCTCCACCTGCTCACGCGCGAATCGCAGACCCCAGTGTGTTCTCGATGAGCCGCGAATGTTGTACTGGTGTAAATGAGGGCAATGCGGTTGCTCTGATGCATCCAACGGGACGATGGTGCGCTGCGGTGTTGCGTGTCCTTGTCCCAGTGTATACAATGCTGACGAAGTTCGCTGACACATGTGCGGGCGAGTCAACGCTTATGGGCATACCCGTCAGTCGTCGAGCACTCTATCCGCATGGACGAGGCTCACCGAGTATGCAGACGTCTTCCTGCCCAATTCAAAGAAGCATGACTGCACCTTTCACTTGCCAGTGTGCCCTCGCGAGCTCGTCTCTCGCGTGCGCAAGCGTCGGGCCGAGCCTCGTTTCGATGTTCCTTTCCTTCGCCTCCCATAGGTATATGCGTCAGTCTCCGGAAGGCACTCTATCCACGCGGCGGACGAGGCTCACCGAGTATGCAGATATGGTTCCGCCCTTATCTGGGTCCGGACTTGATGGGTTGCCGGGCTGGACTGGCACGACATAGTCGAGCGCGGGCATTGCGGGCATGGACATGTAGCTGTCGCGCGCCGCGTCTCCGGGTCCGTGGAGCGGCATCGGTGGGCGTGGTTGCTGCTCCATCGGCAGTGCGAGCCCGCTGCGGCTGCCGTCCCAGCTGAGTCCGCGGACACCGTGCGCTGACTGGGGCATCGGTTGG